ACAGCAGAGCTTTCGGTGAACTCCTTCACCTTTGGCTTCAATACAACGGTCCCAGAGAGTAGGCAAAACGGCAGCTCTTCGTTGATAATTATCTTAAAGTTGGAGCTTGCAGGTGGAAAAGAAGACACCAATGTTAGCATCTGGGAGGAACCCGAAACATCTTTTGTGGGCAGAGTTCCCCTCCAATGGTTTGCTATTCCACAAATATCCCCTGAAATTAAAAACCGAGCATTTCACACCATTAAAAATCCCTGACCAACCAACAACATAGTCAGAAAAAACACCTTTTGGTGGAAGCCAAGCCATAGTTCGTGTGGTTAAACCATGAATTGAACTTTCGAAACTTGATCCTGTTTGTGATGGCTGATGGGAGAAGCCAGTCGAGAAAGTGGTTGAAGCGGGTGGTGTTGACCATGTCGAAGGGGAAGCCGTGGTCCGAGACCCGGCTGACCACCCACGTGCTGCTCCTGGCGCTGAGGAACACCTGGGGGAGAAGGCAGGTCTCAGCCTCCTGCCCGGACATCTCATTGCCCGTTTTGCCCTGAATGGCAAATCCCATCTCCTGCACTTGGGAGCTAAGAGAGTTATCCTGAGGGAAGGAGACGACATCTGGATGAGTCAAACAGTTCATGGTGACTCCTGCAAAGTTCCCACAGCTGCTGAAAGGCCACTCCTTAGGTGGCCTAAACTCTCCAGGAATTGTAGAGCTTCTTCAATTGCCCTCAATTTGAAGTGCAATTTATTGAGAAACCCAGTGGGCAAAGCTCCGTGGCATACCCTGAGCCAGAGGCTCTCGTGAGCCCTGGCCAGGCTCAGCACCACCGCAGAGCTGTACCTTCGCAGCCACGCGGCTCAGCTCCACGGAGAGGTCACCGCCGGTGTTGCCAATGCCGACCACGAGGACCCGCTTTCCCCGGAAAGCCTCCACGTCTTTGTATTCCCGACTGTGGAGGTACTGGCCTTTGAAGCGAGTGTTGATACCTAGGCAGAGAGCAGGGAGCATCTCCTACTGCCAGAGACGTTTGCTTGCCCCAGCCTCATGCCCGGACCCTCTGCAGCCTCTGATCCTCCACCTCTCACCTCTGCTTGCAGCAGAGAAGCTTGTGGAGGTCTTGGCTCCCTGGGTGATACCACCCTCCTGTACCTCCTCAGCTCAGTCCTGCTTTGCAAATTCTCATGCAAGAGCCTGGCTGCATCTTTATGAGGTGTTTTTTTTTCCATTCTCGGGAATGCCGCCTGCCATTCCCACAGCGTGAGGGCTTCGTGGAGCAGGCAGGCAGGCTCACAGAGGAAAATGCAGTCAAGGAACTCATAGGTGCTGGGTGAAACCCTGGGAGGCAGCCCCAGCCCACCCCGCTGCCGAGGCAGGGCTTACCTGGGAAAGAAGCCAATGGTAAGTAGGGCTCCTGGTAATGGCCAGTGCAAACCATGACGGCATCAAAGACATGCGACTCCTGGATGCCATTGGTCTCGGTGACCACCTCCCACTGGCCTGAGGTGGCGAAATCTGGGCACTTCCTCACACTGAGAGCTGTCGTCTTGCACCAAAGCCCAACAAAACAACAGTCAAGAACTGCACCGCGTTTTGGAGAGAACCTGCCTGCAAAAGTCTGGGGCTGCTGGGGGCAGGCTGCGTCCCCGGGGAGCTGCATGTCACCTCTGAAGCTGTTAAATCCCACCCTGCACCTTTTCCCTGGTGGTGGCATCCAGGGGGAAAATGCAGCAGGCAGCCCGTGTTTGAGTAGCCTAATTTAAAACATGGAGCCAAACAGGCTGCGCTCAGGATGCAAAAGGCATGTGGTCCTCGCAGGATTGCACTCAGCATTGTCGCATCCCTCCTGGGCGATGCCCTGGTATCTGCAGCCACTGATGGCTCTTCTCCCCACGGCGTTTGGGGTCCCTGCTCACCTTGAAGCGTATGTGCCGCAGGAGGTCAAAGTGCCGGGCATACATCCGAAAGTACTCCAGGAGGAGGCCGTGGGGCAGGTAACTGGGAAAATCCTCTGGGCAGGGGAAGTCACTGAAGCAGGACATCTCCTTGGAGGTGTTGGTGATGACCGAGCGGTACACGCTGACCCTCCTGCTGTCCATGGAGTCCTGTGTGAAGCCAGCAGTGCCATTTGCAGGGAAGGACTCTCCCCCCCCCGCCCCGAAATATTGAGTATTTTTCCTCCTTGTATTTGGGTACAAGGAATAAACCAGGACTAGCATCTGGTGACCATGGCTTCTGCTCCCTCCATCTCCTTCTCCACCTTGGAGTTAGAAAGAGTCCCGTGCCTGGGACAGGGACGGTCCCCAAGGGCATGGCCACCCTTTCCTCTTTTCTGCAGGCAAAGAACATCCAAGGGAGGGGACAAACCCAGGGACAATCCTCCCCATGCACGCAGAGCCCACTGACCGTGTAGCGCCAGAGCCCCCCGATGTCCTCGCCCCTCTCAAAGCAGGTGGGCTCCAGCCCCTCGTCCAGGCAGCATTTGACAGAGGCCAACCCGCCAGCCCCGGCCCCGATAACAGCCACACGCCGCACCATGCTGTCCTGCAGCAGGCAACAGCCCGGCATGCGAGCAACTGGAAATAAAATAGCCCAGGGATTAGCAGAAGCACCGGTCCCTTCTTCCCATCCCCAGCAAAACACCCCGGGTCTTCTCTGGCTGCAGATGTCCACAGGGGAAAACTGTCCTTGGAGAAAGCCATCACCAGCTCCTGACTCGAGTGTTATGGAGGGATGCTGCTCACTACCCTTCCCGCTCTGCTAAGCCCACACCAAGGGCCCAGCAATTCCTCTCCTGCAGGTAGGGCAAAAGGAGGCACTTTTAAACTTTGCTGCACTGCTACTTCTCTTTATTCCCTTTCTTGGCCCAAACCATGGCGTGCAAAGAAGGGGATGGGGCTCGCAGCTATCTGCTTCTGCCTGCACAGAGTGATCCTCCTGAAACCTTTTCAAGAAATAATTTCAGCTAAGCTGGCTCATTTTCATGCTTTCCTTTTTAATTTCTCATTAAAGGGCATTCTCTCGAAAACAAAAAAAGGTTTTTTTTAAAAAAATAAAAGCGATGCCTGACTGAGCAGGAACACGGCGCAGCGATTCAGAAGTTAGCACCGTGGAAGTGCAGCTGGGATTACAGAATATACAAAAGGTAAGAAACCCAGGAAACGCCGAGCATAAATGGGAGGAACTCAAAGCTCGGGGTGTGTAAACTGAGCTGCACCGAGCTTGACTGGAAAGCAAAGAAACCGGGAAAAAAATGAACCCATGTGAACTTTGATTAGATAACAAACATTCCTACTGCAGCCTCTGAAGAAAGAGTCATTTATAACTTTTTTTTTTTTCTACCTGTTTTGTGTCCAAAAGTAAGTTAACACAAACAAGAACTGGAGGAAACTGCAGAAAGCCAGGGGAAAATGAGGGAGGCACAAAAAAACCCTCCCTCTGCATCCAAAAGCCCAGCCTGAGCCACTCCTTGATCTGCAGGAGCAGGGCAGGACACACCAACACTCCCCCGCCACCCCGTTTCCAGAGCCTGCCTTGGCTTTGGGAAAGGGTAGCGATGTGCCCCGCGTGCTAAAGTCACCCCTCTTTTCCAGCGCTGCCTACAGGCGGCTTTGCTCCGGGGGGGCCCCATGACACCCCCTCTCCCCCTGCCAGCAAGCAAGGGGTAGCCGGCAGCAAACACCAAAACCCCGGAGAGTTGGCCGCCCGCTTTTAAAGCCTGCAAAACCCAGCTGGAGAGAAGTGAGGAGCAAACCTTCCAGGGTGGTGCTGTGCCTTCGCTGCTCAGGCTTCAGCCGAACTTTGCTTCGAGTTTCTCTAGCCACAGATTTAAAAGGAAAGGCTGAAGTCCAGGAATCTCACCATGGCTTTTGCACCACCGACCTTTACACCCGCACTCCTTGGCTCTGCTGTGCTTAAATGTGCTGGCAGAAAGTTCTCAACCTCCCTGCATTAGTGCTGGGTAGAAATCCAGATTGCAATCCCAAGTAGGGCGTGCTTGCAAGAACTCCCACGCTGCAGCTCGCTGCTGCCCCAGCCCTGGAGCAGCTTGGTTTTATCCTGATCCATCCCACCGTGTGCAGCCGGTGCCGGGCAGGCACTTACTTGGCATCCCTGGAAAATGAGCAAAACACACTCCCTTTGCCCACATGGATGGGGGACACGGTGCACCGTGCAGCCTAATTTTTGGTGGTCGGTGAAAACCCTTGCAGCCCCAGGCTTGTGGGTCACCTGGGGCACCTGCTGGCATGGCCCCAGCCCAGACATGAGACCCCCTACTCTTCCCGTGCACTCAGGGGGATGATGAGGCGGCAGCCTGCAGCACACTCCTGCCACAGCCGATGAAATTTTATTGATTGAAAGTCTCTCCGCGCACAAAACAAAGCTCCAGGATTGTCCAGTAGCGGGGAGCGCAGGGAAACGGAGCCAGGAAGGCTCAGCCCCCCAGGGTACCAGCCCCGCTCTCAGGGGTGAGAGACCACCGCAGCCAGGGCCTTTTCACTGGAAAGATGCACCCATTCAACCCAACCTGGGATTTTTGGGTCATAGGGTTTAAGGTTGGAAGAAGAGACAGCCTGACCCATGTACCCAGCCCATATCACCCCTTGCTGGACTAGAGACCCCAAATCCTGGATGATTTGGGGCAGGGCTGGGCACCTGTGCTTCTTTCCGTCTGTGCCACCCAAAGCCATTTTTACTAGTCTTGTCCTCGCTGCATCTTGGCCAGCGTGGTCCAGGCACAGCCATGCCACACAGCCCTGCTCATGGCAGCAGGCAGCAAAATAAATGCTAGGGGGAGGCTGCCGTCCCCGGATAATCAGATTTGCAAAGCTGTGCTTGGGGTGAGCTGGAGCAAAGAGAGGTTTGTGCTGCTGGTTCAAGTTTTGGATTTGTTGCGATCTGCTGAAATCCCTTTCCCTCTGTCCTATAGCACCCTGTGGAGCTGTCTCATCTGAGATAACCCCTAGGACAAGAGAAAAAAAATAATAATCTAAACACCCTCCAAAATCTACTGGAAACCAAAAACCAGGGCAGCCAGGAGCAGGAGAAACCCCACCACTGTCGGGAGAGAAGAGGAAGGGCTGGAGGAGCTGGCAGGGACTTGCATTCTTGTGGGCTTCAGGGTCTGGTCCCACTGGGAGAGGATGGCCCGGCGTGCCCCTTCCCAGTACCTGGGGTCCCCCAGCTGGTACTGGTGGGGTGTGCAGGGGCCAAAAAAAGAGGGTGAGGGCCAGCTGGCAGTCTCTGCAGAGCAGCCCCAGCTCACTGGGCTTGGCATCGATGAAGGCGGCAAGCTTGTCCATGTAGACCAGGCAATCAGTTTTGAGGACTTCGTCAAAGGACAGACCAAACCTTAATGAAACAGAGAAGAAAAAGAGGTGGGAGAAGGATTGGTATCAACAAGGCTGAGAGGAACTGGAAGTCAGATGCTCTCCATCCCCGTTGTTATTGCATCCCAAGGCAACGGGGTTCCTCTTAGGAAAGGACTGGGTGTATGTGCAGGGGGAACCTGGGTCTGTCTGGGCCCAAATCCTGCCTGCGACACAGCACATGTGAAGTGATGCTGGCTCTGGTACACACCTTTCTCATGTGCATCAGTCGGTCTTTCACTTCATCACTCACAAGTTGCAGCTGGCCCCTCCTTCACCTTGGCAGACCTTTTCTAAAAGACTTTGTCAAAGCAGGTTTTGTTTTTTTTTTTTTTTAAACTAGTTTTCCCTTTGCTCTCTGCACAAAAGTCATGTGCAGAGAAGAAAGGTGGCACCCTTTAGTTTCCGCCACATTAATTTCTACCAAGTATTGCAAAAATGCATGGTGAACTGGAGAATTGCTTCCAGTTCACTTTCTCTGCAAAATTCACAGCTGCAAGGCCTGCTGAAAAAAAGCTACGTGTGTTTAGCCTTGTATTATACGGCAACTGTTCTGTGCAATTCTGTATTTCATTTTTCTACACATCTTCTACACATCTTCTACTATAGCGATCTAGGTGAACCATGGATGAATATATTGCCCAGTTTCCTCGTTTTATCTCATTAATTTCCAAATATTTCTGAGCCTTTGATTTGACCTTTTACCTGCCCATGAACTGCATGCCGGTATGCTCAGACACCTACTCACAGTGAGGCAGATCTCCATGCTGAGAGGTGAGACAATTTGTATGTACACCTCAGGCTGGCTTTTCCCCCCGCCCCCGCTGAATTACTTTGCATTTATTACCATTAATTTATCTGCCATTTTATCTCTCAGTCCCTGGGGACCCTGGCACACTTCCCCAACTCCCAAGCAAACTTCAGTCTCAACTGTCCTGAATTAATTTAGTCCCATCATCAACAGGCAAAATATCAGTGTCAAATCAAAGGTTATGTTGGCTCGGTGCAAGCGAATAAAGGGGTGGCTGGATCTGGGCATCCCCCCCTCACCTTCGCTATACGTACAGGGGGCAGCTGCAGAGCATGAGCCTGCGTGTGTCTGACCCCCAAACTCCAGGGGCTTTTCTATCCACCAAAAAACCTTTGAGGCTCCAGGGAATGGCTTACCATTGCACTTGGTTTTTGTTCTTCTCATTTACTTCCTTCTCCATGACAGACTGAGGAGGCAACCGACACAAGCCTGGAAGAGAGAGGAGAGCGTCCTGCAGAGTTTAACTCCTGGGGGAACTTGTGAACTCATTCAGTGACGGAAAATGTGGGAAGCCCTTCCCCAGGAGGGCAGGAAAGCCTCATTGCTCACATTTACCTCGGCAGTGGCAATTCTGCCAGAGATCAGCTCTCCATGGTGGTACAAACTCACCTGTGCTTTTTCCTGCTCTTACAGATTTGCAAGGACACAGGCAGATGCTGTGGGATGAGGTGGGCTGTGCAAGCCCCAGAGAGGATCATCCCAAAGAGAAGCCCCAGAGCTTCCCCTGGCTATGTGGAGGAGCCTTGATGCAGCCCCCCACATTAGCCCAGTGGGAGGTTATTATTATTATTTTTATTAAAAAAACCAACCAACCAACAAAACCCCCAATAGGTTTCTTTCCTCACTTCAATAATTAAAAATAATTCCTCTTGTGGGGCAACAGGACTCTTCTCCTCTCGTAGTCATGGTGGACAAACCACCCTGTCGCTTAAAGAGCAGCAAATTCTGCCAGGATGGATCCACCACAGTATCTTAAAGACAACTCTTATTTGTGCATCCAGGTTTATGTATCCATTTCTGTGCTCTGACTTCTAAAATATTTTAGAGATAAAATATTGTCTTGAACAACCTGGTTTAGACTGTGGTTTGCAGGCTCAGGTGCAAACTGCACATCAGCTGAGACACAGTACGGAATGGAGCACATACTCTTGGCTTGCAGCAGGTAGGGTACAAAGCATTAGCTTAAAAGCATCAGCTTAGAAGCATCAGCTTAGCAGGCAAAAAAAGAAGTGATTTAAGGTAGATGTCATGAACTTGCATGTAGTTTGGACCAAGCATACACTCATGTTGCTGTAGCTCAGCTAAACTGTAGTAACTTGGGAAGTCCAAGCTCTAGAAATGCTCCCTTGTCCACTTTGAAGGAAGCTTTGTAGTTCTGGGGTCTCCGAGGACAGAAATCCCTCTTGGTGCATAGAGGGGACAAGATGTGTCCAGTCTGAGCTGCATTTTGGTACACAGGAGGGCTCACGTTAGCTCTCCTGCCTTTGAAGACACGGGTCACCCAGCACGTGTGCATCTCTGTCACAAGCATGATGGCTCCTAACAGCTTGATCAGCCCAAGGGTGGCCAGGCTGGGCCTCTGCAGGTGACTGGGAACATGTATTTGTAGAGAGACGATGGTTGTTTTCCACCTCGATGACTGCTTCTTCTAGGAACAAGAAGGAGACGTAGCCCGTGCGGAAGACAATGATATTGATGGGCTCCTCCTCAGGGCAACTGTGCAAAACAACTGAGTTGTCCTTGAACTCCTTCACGCCTGGTTTGATGGTGATCCTCCCTGTCAGGATGTAGCTTGGAAGGTTGTTGTTCAGCACGGGCAGCTGTGGAGAGCCGAGGGGCTCTGAGCATTGGAGACCATGAACAAGTCCTGTGGGTGCCCCTGCTCTTCTTCCCCCTGGGCCCTCCAACCCCACGACCTCCCGGTGTCATTTGCTCTGAGCAAACAGCCCTGCCTCCCCCCTCTCCAAACTCAGACGTGTTTCACCCTTGCACCAATGTCACCCTGTCCCACAGCCTGAGTGACTCGTGGGCATCTCCTGCCTTCTTCCGCCATTCACCCAATTACTCTTTAAACCATGTCTTTTCAGAGCTGATCCATGCTTTAAGCCACCCTCCTCCTCTTTTCCAGGGGAACCTCATGAGGAAAACTCCTCTGGTCCTTCCTGGGCTTTTCCAGCATGCTCCATCTCGCACCACCAAAGGGGTCTACACCTTATCTTCTCCTGCTGGGCTACAGACTCCCCGCTGGAGATAACCCTGCTCTGGGCATTGGTTGCTGCATTGGTTGATGTTGGTTGCTGGAGATTTCCCCTCTCCCTGCAGCACAAGCCCTGTGGCACCCCATGGGATGGGAGCCACCAAGAAGTACGTCTTCTCTGGTTGAAGGCCATAGTTTTCATGCTTGAACTATTGGTTCACCCTGTAGATAATCAACTCCTGTGAAAAGGGTCCAGGGAGGCTGTTTCTGATCAGACTTATAAGGTGAGTGTTGAAAACAGTGTCCCATGGGTAGCTGCGGTCAAACACGCAGCTGAGCACTCAGGCACTTCAGCTGATACACAGGGTCACCTGGGAGAGAGCAGAGAATCAACGATTTGGGTGATGAATTTGCTGCTTTGCCTTTATAAAGTAACCCCAGAGGTGCACAGCAGAGGCAGCTATGCAATGAAAAAGCAACAACAGGATCTTTAAGACCTCCTGGTAGCTGGTGATGCAGGTGAAACAGGAGAGAAGAGAACTACCAGCTTTCTTTCAGGGTAGGTTTTTGACCAAGAAATAGAGGTTCAGAAGCAGTTTGGACACTATGCAGGGTAAATCCAGCTTGCTCTCCTTGCAGTGATGGCAAACTGAGCTATTGCCCCGAGCATCATCCTCTCTGCACCCCTGAGGCGGCTGGGCGGTGGTACCTTCGTGGTTATGCGGCTGGCCTCCAGCATGATGTCCACTCCTGAATTGCCCGTGCTGACCACTATGACGCACTTACCCTGAAACATGTCAGGATGCTTGTACTGCTGGCTGTGAAAGTACCGGCCTTGAAACCTCTTGATGCCTTGGGGAAAAAGAAACAAAGCTTTTAATTACTTGAGCATTTGTGGGTTTTGTTGGCATAGAAACAATCCAAAACAATCCAGATGGCAAGAGCAAGGAAGTGCAATTGCTGGCCACTGGGGACTCGGGGAGGTTCAGCCTTCCATCCCACGCACATAGAATTGGTGCTTCCTCTCCAACATGGGGTCTCACGCATCCCTGCCTAGCAGCGAACGGGGACATGTGTGCTGGGCGGGACTTGGAAGACGGTTATGTGCAAGAGGTGGGCTCATGCAGTCTTGGGATTCAGCTTTTGTGAGATGGGGATGCAAAGGTTCAGAAAAGCCACTAAACCTCTGCACCTGTCCTACAAGCGGCTTCAGAAGCACTTGGTAATGCTGATGACAAGGCAACCCTCTCTATACATACAACTGGAGAGATTCATCACAGCAGTGATAAATACAGCCCTACCAAAGCTGAGGGAGCTTCACTGAGAGGACCTTGTCCCATCTGGCATACTGTGCAGACAGTTTCTCCGAGGCTAGACCATCCTACCTTGGAGGTTTGCTCTGAAGTGACAAGTGCCTGCAAAGGAAAAGCTGCTGAAGCACAAGGATGTATTGCTGTTCAGGCCAGGATGTTTGGAAAGCAGAAGCAAGAAAAGGAAGAAAACATCTTCCCCAAGGAACGACTAACCCTTCTCCCCCCAGCTCCTGGAAGCAGCTAACTGCATACAGCCATGTACCGTACCAGGAAAACAGTTCAGCGGGAGGATGGCTCAAAGAAATTGCCACTGCAAACCATAACAGCATCGAAGACATGCAACATCTGCTTCCCATCCGTCTCTGTGACCACATCCCACTGGCCTGTGGTGGCAAAGTCGGGCGCTTCTGGATCCTGATGGCAGTGGTCTGAAACGTGGAAGTGAAGTGGAGTCACCACCGGCACCTGGCAAGTGCAGGAAGCAGGGCAGTGCTGGGGCACCCATCAATCACCCCAAATTTGATGTTCTCCTGAAGGCCGCAGTGCTCGGCATAGCGTCGAAGGTAATCAGGAGCTGGGCATCAGGCAGGAACAGCGGGAAGTCCTCAGGGCAGGGGAAATCAGAGATACCTCTTCCAGGCAGCGCTTGGTGGCTGGCAGCCCGCTGATGCCCATGCCCACCACTGCCACTCTCATCCCCACCGTCTGCACTGGGATCCAAGGCTGCGAACGGGGCTTAACCTGGGAGAAACCCCACAAACAGTCACTGCCCTCTCAGGGAGCAGCTCCTGGCATACCCTTTATAGGGGATTTCTCTGTATGCCACCCCAAAACCTTCATTCCCTTTGCCAGCATTCTGGGCTCTTCATTTACAAGTTAGATTAAACGTCTTTAAATCTTCATTTTCTACATTTTTAATTTTTTTTTTTTTTCTTTTTAATAAATCCATCTGCTTTTACAGTGTGCTTGCCAGGCTGCTTCTAAAACCCTGCAGTTGCCCTGGAAACTTGCTTTGAAAATATGTAGTTAAGCCACAACTCACTGCCAATTTTTATTTACAAGCTGTGTTTAAACTATCCCTCCTAACACTCCTTATCAGTCTTGCAAATATTTGTATTTTGTCTTTGGAGATCTGCCCTTGCCTTTCTGAGAAAAGAAAAAAAAACGTGCTTGGAGTCTATTCAGTCTCTGCATCACTGGCCGGGTCATGTCCCCCATCCCAGGAAAGATGCTGCTGAATTTGACAGGGAGGGGCTGTGGGTGGGTGTAACACACCTTGGTTTGAGGGATGCTTTTGTGTCACTCTCCCAAATCCACCCCACTGGGGAGGTCTGGGCTGGACAGAGAGGGCTATTGCAGGGCTGCAAATGGTTCCACCCTGGGGGCTGAAAGGCGGCAGCCCCCGGGTTGATGTCCAGCCCTCCGAGGCTCCCAGGGCTGCAGTGGGGATGATGGACTCAAACCCTTCTTGATAGTGCCAGGCAATGAAACAAGGGATGCTGGCCAGGCACCGTGGCTCAGGCGGGACTTTGCCAAAGTGAGGACCACCACGCTGGCGCTCTGGGGATGCTGCAGCAAGCCCTGGTTTAACCCCAGCGCCGGCGGGGAGCACCCTGCTCGACTGAGTTATTAACCCGGTGTACCGGGATGGCACTATGGCTGGGTGGCACGGGCTCCTCTGCCCCTGAGCACCACCTTCAGCCTCCACCGGACACAGAGGATGGTGTATTCATCAGAAAAAAGGAAAGGTCTTCAGTAGAAAAATGGGGTTGGACACAGTATTTTCTAAACCCCACCAAATTGCCCATGAATAATTTCAACTTTTGGTAGGAAGGCAGCACTTAATGAACACTCTGCTTTCCAAAGCTGGAATGAAAACTGGACTTTTTCCTTTTTAAATGAAAAGAGCACTAGTGTAAGCTGCTCATTGTTAACACTTTTCAGGAGGGTTTTTTTGCATAGTGGGAGTTAGCTTATATCACAACCATCTCCCAGCTATGTATGCTATTTAATTCTCTACCCTTTTGCAAGGAAGCTAGAAATAACATCCAGGAAACACTGCGTCTGCCACTCCATGCCTGTTACTGCCACACTTTCCATATTGTCCCTGCAAGTATTCGTAGCAGCTAACCTCAGAAATCTCAAGCCCTGGGGTGCTTGCGTGGGGCAGGGAGGGATGGAAAGGCTTCACAGCCCCCCAGGGACACTTAGCCCCCCAGGGACACTTACCTCCCAGCCTCAACCGCCTGTGCTCCATCTCACCGCCGCTGCAGGGAGAGCCCCTCTTGCTCCTGATTTATAGACAAGACACGGTGCTTCGGCAGAGGCAGGGGAGGGTGGGTGGTTCATCCCTGGCATGGCACGGCACGGCACGGCCACCCCACTCCCACGGCGGTTGCACAACCAGGGTTTGCAGTGGGAGGAGCGGTTGGACTCTCCTGCTGTCCTGTGGAGTGAGCCGGACCACCTGGCTAATGATAATCCCTAAAGGGGATGGAGTGGGTGGGAGAGATCAGAGTGGTCCAAATGCATCCCGCCGTCGTGCAAGGAGGACGCGTGTTTGCAGGGGCAGCTCCTGCTGTGTGGTGCTTTCGCTTGCCTCATGGTTGCCTTCCAAAAGGGAGCCAAAGTGGCTAATGGGCAACAGGGTTTTGGCAGGACTTTGCACCCAGGGCACCTTCCAAAAAAAGAGAGATGGTTTTGCAGTCGCTGCTCACGGGGTGCGGAGGCTGCGTCGCGCCATTGGCCACAGGTAGGGCTGCTGGTGGTGGGCAGTAGGCTCCTCATGCAAATTGGGAGAGCATGAAACAGCCACAAACACCAGCATACCAAGGTGCTAAGAACAAAGAAAGTGGAAATATTAGCTGAAATACCAATACAGGACATAGCACCCATCCAGGTATCTCCCAGGGGTAAATGATCATGGAAATGAAGGGGACAAAGGTGGCTTTGGACAGGGCTTTGCCTCCAGCTGCTCAATATGTTTAGAGATGACTGGTGAGAAAGTATGAAATCTCTGCAAATGAATATGGCTGGACACAGAGGCCATGGAAAGACAGTTGCTACAAGACTGGCTCTTTAGGAAAAACAGTGTTGAGAAAAAGACGTAGTGATATTTGTACTATGGGGGTGACAGCAGATAGCTCACTGAGGCTCTGCAGTGTGAGCGCAGGGGACGCGGTGAAAGTTGCCAGCATCACCTTGCCACTGAAAAAAGGCGTTCTCAGAGTGATGGGCCCAGATTTGGTATCAGCTCTTTAAGCAGTTTAAATAACCAAGGAAGCTGCAAGGGAGGGGGCGAAAAACTCACCTGAGGTTTGCAGAACAGAAGGTGGTAAATAAAGCAGCACCATCCAACAGAGACATCTGCTCGGAGCCTGCGTTCGGATCTGCAGAGGCAGGAGATGGGCCCGTAGCTGGGAGTTGAAACTGGAATTGGAAATAAGATGCACATTGGTAACAAGGAAGGTAATTAGCCATTGGAAAAGTCTGCTGAGCTTTGTGGCGGACCCAGGCACATTTTTGGTTCATGGAGGGACAGGACTCACCGCCCCTGTGCTGGGGCACTGCCAGGAGCGCAGCAGCCTGAGCTGCCACCCACCAAGAGACGTCAGCCTTCTCGGGCTTCCCTATCCCAGGATCTCCTGCTGTTTCTGCCCAAAGCCCGGCTCCTGGGTTTGCCATCAGGAGCACATCGGATTTGGAGCACATGCCCAGTATGGGGCCGGCTGTGCGAGCCATGCTCCAGCACAGCTCAGCAAGTGATGGCTGAGCGCGATGCACTTGCAGGGGCTGGAGCCTGTGGAATCAAACTCATTCATTTGAGTTCAGCTTTCAGACCACTGTCAGCAGCATGAAGAAACATTCAGATTTTGCTCTCCCAGGCCAATGGGACACAGTTACCAAGGCAAACGGGCAACAAGCCTTGCACATCTTTGACATTGTTGGGATTTGCACAGGCTACGTCTCCCAGCTCCCCCTCCCACTGGACTCTTCTCCAGATGCACAAAACCTTGCACCTGCAACGATGCTTGCCAGCACTTAGCAAAAAAGAGTAGGGAATCCACAAAGGCAAATATTTTGTTCTTTCTATGCTCCTGCTTTTCTGCGTTTCCCAGCAGGCATCCAAGTGACTTGCAGTTAGAGGGACACTGTGGCAGCTTCCCAGGGGTGGTGTTAGTGCTTTTGGGAGGGCAGTTGTCACTGTTTAAGGCTGGGCTGACAATTAAAGCAGATGACAGATGCTCTCTATCAAACCCATCCTTTCCCAGAAGGGAAAGGAAAGGAGAGAAGGAAGGGAGACTTATGGGTGGGAAAATTAAAACAACTTTAATAAAAGAA